ATCTAGAGCGCTTGAACCACACGGTCTTGACGTTGCATTGCTGCCTGGGCGAGGCAATGAAGCCGTTCGGAGACAATGCCTACAAGGTGCCTCACATGTCGAAAGAGAAACAAGAGCGCAAGGGGTTGTTACCTGAAAACGTGTCGTGTTCGAGGCAGCCAGGGCCAAGTTGGATGGCATGACCACGAACCGGACCGTGTCCTGGCTGCAGAATTGGCGGAGGCACGATACGTCGACGAGCTCGCCCAGGCACTCCAGGCCATCGTCCGACTCTGTGCGATCACGAGTCGGACTATATAATTGCTGCTTGAAGGAAGTAGGAGTTGAGCCAAATAGTGTTGAAGATGACGTACGGGTGTGTGTGTTGGTATTATGGATGGTAATTGTGCTCGTTACCACACCAGGGGGGGAATAGCTCAGTGTCAAATAGGACTATATTAGGTTTTATCCCAATACTAATATTGCCCAATGGGCTCACCTAATTCCTAGTGCCTATGCAAAAGCATGTGCGTAGGTAGGGGGGGAATAGCTCACTGTCAATGGAGGTTTATTAGAATTTTAACCGGATATTATTCCTAACTTAATATTGCCTTCTCGCGTTATCCGGCTGATTGGGCTCACTCAGGGGGGGGTGTTGGTTGTGTTTACAGTGTTTTCACGCTCCGGTTATTTAACCGAACCGCGGGTCCTCTTCATCCGGATATCCCTTCTTGGTTCGATCCCCGGCTTCCCCGGATTATTTCCGCAAGGATTTATCCGTCCCTCCCCTTGAGAATCCGGATAACAAGGAACACGTACGAAGACGAGGAGCGAACTTCGAAGAAGATCGGTCGAAGCACGAGGTAAGAAGCGTTGAGCGAAGTAAAAACCGATGATCCCTGGTCGAGCAGGCGCGTTACAATTGGCGAAGCGGTTCATAACATGTGGTTCTAGTGTCGTCCCTCGCGGAGGAATGTCGTAAATATGATAATCCAAACTCAATTAATCGTTTGGAGGTTTCTGAGAAAACCTCCCTCCTGAATCGAATGGCAATTTCAGAATTGCCTCAAGTCGTCATTTGATTGGTCCTGAGACACGCAAAACGCATGCTTTGATTATAAAAGTGTATCGTTACACATGTATTTATAATACATTCTGGAGTATTTGATCTTAGAGTGCTTTGTAGTTTTACTGCAGGAGGCGTTCTGATTCACGCACTTATTTTGGAACGGAGGGAGTACGGTGCCAGCTGAGAAAAACAAATTTTCTTATTTTCAAGGTAAGTATACAGTACAGTACCTCTGCTTTGGACTAACAGTACACAATTTCCCGATCAAGTTGGATTTTTTTCCAATTAATGTGGTTAGAGGAAGTATAAAATATAAGTTTTGACAAGGACTGGAAAGCAAAAAAAATCAGATCAATGTGGTTTCTGTTTCAATCAATGTGATGCAAATCTGGAAACAATGTGGTGCAAATCTGGTGCCATAGTTTATTTCATATATGCTGCAGTGGAAGTTCTCAGGAGGATGGGGGAGATGGGTGGAGGAGGGTGGACTTGTCCGAAATGCTCACAGCTATTCACTGTCCCTTGAAGGCAAGGGCAAGAAGAAGCGGATCGCGTCTCGTGTTCAATTGGAGCTTACCAATGGCGACATGCAGGCGTTTGACGCCGTAAAGTCAAAGCTAGACCAATTCCCCGAGTGAGTGGGTGACACACCCACGCAATTGGTCAAAACCCACTCACTCAGGGAATTTGGTACTATTGATCTAAAACGTCCCCGAGTAAATCGACACACCAATATCCGCATAGTGTTCGGATAACAACCTCCAGTATTGTAATGGACTGATAATTCAGGATAATTCGCACCGCAAAAAGCCCAACTCCAGCCAGTAAATTCATCACCATCATTCGACCAGCCTGAGTGGAAACCCGCGTTAATTTCGACTATGAGGCATCGTTATCACCAGGAATGGCACGCAATGATTCGCAACATGCATGCTTATGTACACTGTACCAAGTTATCCTTATCACCAGGAATGGCATCAACGGTAGTTTCTTGTGAACTAGTAAACCGAGTACGGTGATATACAGACATAATAGGCATCCGCCAGCTCGATAGGACCCGCGCTATTGACCTTGGTAATGCAGAAGTCAATGGCGCGGGTCCTGTCGAGTTGTAGTCGATGACATGGGTCCTGCAACATTAACAACACGGCTACCGGCCGCGAAGACATACCCACCGACTGCCGCACGACTCTCGCCAACGCGGCAAGCCATGCAACTTCGACCGGCGCAAGACAGACACCGCCAACGACGGCAGGATCGGCCTCGGACCGGCGCAAACAAGCAATCGGCCGCATTCGCCTGCGGTCAATGCTGCCGCCTAACAGTAAACTTATCACGGCAGCATCGACCGCAGGTGAATGCGCTATCGGCCGCAACTGACCTACGCCGCAAGAGTCATCACCACATAAGTCATAAGCTATTGACTGCGGCATACATACCATGCCAGGGCCGTCACAACTGCACCTCGACCTATGCCATCACCGACCCTGAGGCTTCGCTGCTCCGTGTTTATGCACCGACGTCTCTATCCGGCCACTATAACCGGATACTGACTCCAGCAAATCCAGTACAAGTCCATCAAATCTGTGTGACTTTGACTGGAATATTTGCTGGTCAGCAAAGTACTGAACCCGATACTGGTGCGGTGCGAAAATATTTCAGTAAATTTTCAGTAAATCAGCACACATATTTACTGATTGGCCAATTTACTGGGCGTGGTGGAGATGCTCTAAACACATACACCTTACTGTCGGTGGAACGGGAGGTCATCAAGGCTTCAAACTATTAATTTTCAACTATCACACGTTTGAAAATCAAGTGAAGCATAATTTTCGGGAAATAATCTGGAGTGGCCATGATCAAAACTACAAATGCTACGACAATCTAACCCTCAAATAATGCAAGCCATGTTTTTATTGGAGCAACTCGTTCCATGAACTACTACTGTACTAGTATTGCCGCAGAGCTGAGTACTCAGGAAATCACTGCAATAAATAAATTTGTCACATTCTCATGTACAATCAAATACTATACGTATTGTAGCAAACAATCTCGATATGTAACATGTTATGATTCATTATCACCCACACCATGTTGACCAAAAATACCTTAAAACAATCCGACAGATTTAAGGTTCACCATTTTAAGCTGAGTATTTGCATATCCATTTGCATATTTTTTGGGCGGTTAGATTAAAACTGTATTTCTAGGAATTGATATTGGTTAATTCGTGTGCACATTAAAGTGGATCGAGCATACTATGTAGTATCACTAACATTTAACATGTACGGCTTTCTATTGGTTGAAATACTGCCGAGCCGACATTGCACTCGAATCAGCATAAACAAAACGGCAAGTCGAACTGGCAGGTACTGTTGTGGTCGGAGGCAGTTAGTCGGCACCCAGCCATGATGCATGGGGACCATTGGTGGGGCCCCTTGTGTAGCCCATTTCACACAATACCGTTTGCGACTTTTAAAACGTTATGGTTGCGCTTTAGCAGCTTTGGCCGGATAGAGACGTTGGTGTATAAACACGGAGCAGCGAAGCCTCAGGGTCGGTGATGGCATAGGTCGAAGTGCAGTTGTGGCGGCCCTGGCATGGTATGTATGCCGCAGTCAATAGCTTATGACTTATGTGGTGAAGACTCTTGTGGCATAGGTCAGTTGCGGCCGATAGCGCATTCACCTGCGGTCGATGCTGCCGTGAAAAGTTGAAGTGGATCCTTTCGTTGCGGTCTTTCGCGTGCCATCTCGGAGCATATGGTCGATGGACCACCCTTCCCCATTTTACATGAGGGCACAATAAGCAGCACGGAGGACCTGTCGGCCAAGTTGTCGACATACAATAGATGTCGGACCGTAGCCATCGACACTGCATGTCCGGAATGTCCGGCGCTACCGCAGTGGGCAACTACCATGATACATTGGATCAGGTCGTTCGCCGCACTCGGAATCCATAACCGCTCGTCCACTTCCACAGTCCGCTCACCACTGTAGCTCACTTGGGTTTGTCCTTGGCATTTTGGTCCTGTGCTTGGCGAATGTCCGCCACACATGGCCACACGAAGCCCTTGTCCAGCCGGCGCAGTTTGGGTTGTGCCGGTAGGGGGACTTTGCGCGTTTTAATTTTCTTTGACCAGCCATGACCCCGACGTATTTTGACCCGATTGGTCGCCAGACTTGGTGTCGGCTGGCCCCAACCGCTCATCATGTCCGCACAGAGGTTGTGATAGCGGTAGCCACCAGTAGTGGCAACTGATGGCATGAGTTTGCTATGTGAGTGCGCCTTCAATTCTTCGCACAGGGCAAAGACCTGGATGAGGCTCTTGTGATCACAGTATATCTTGAACGGCGTAGTTCGCATATGTGTATAGTTGAGCTTCGTGCACGCACGCGCAATAGGGTAGGCCTCCTTCTCGATGACTGACCACGCATTCTTGGCGCCCGCAAATATCCCCGACTAGCATAGGAGCAGTTCGTGGTGTTGTTCTTGGACTGGGCTGTCGTCATCGTATGCCACCACTTACGTTACCACCACTTATGTTACCACCACTTATGTTACCACATCGACCATCCATAATCGCTCGTATCCGTAAACCGACACTTCGTGGTGTCATCACGTGGGTGAGACAGCTCCGCCGATGATCGTAGCTTGGAGACCAATTCCCCGAGTGAGTGGGTGACACACCCACTCAATTGGTCAAGTGCCCACTCACTCAGGGAATTTGGTACTATTGACCTAAAACGTCCCTGAGTAAGTGGGTGGGACTAATTGCTCTCTACGATAAGTACATCCTATCGTTAACGTGAAACATGAAGGCATACAACGTTGTACACCGTTAATCGTATTGCTGCCGACAAGTCCTCACTTTTGACTCCCCAGGCCGACCTTGCCAAATTGGCGATGAGTAATGAACTCGCCCCTTGTCCCGCCTCGCCGCGTTGGCTGGCCCCAACGCAGCTTGGTTCGCAAGTCTCGACTCTGGTGTCGACCCCTGTTCTCGACGCAGATTCGCGCTCTGCTGTCGCCGTCCCTAGCCCGCCTTCAACACGGGCGATCGTCGCTTGTTTGTGAACGTGCAACCTGGACGAGTTGCCTCGGTCATCATCCGAGATCCTAGCATTGCCGGAGATGAGTTTCAATGCGTTTGTCCCTTCGTGTCCAAGTGACCCGGGGTATTGCTATGATATCCATTGACGAGGACTTGGATCTCCTCTCGACCTCCATGGCGGACGATTTGGTTGTACCACCACCAGCGAAATCCCAGACGTGGGATTCCCTCCGTACGAACCCGTATTTCGACCTCCTCCGCGAGTTTGCGGACGTCTTCCCCGACGAAGTTCCCAATCGACTCCCCGTCGTCAAAAGGGTACGACACGAGCTTGGCCTCTTGCCAGACACAAAGTACTGTGTCACGCGGCAGTGGACGCTTCCCGAGAACAAGTGGAAGCCATCGACACGTTCGTTGCGGTGTGCAAGGCCGCTGGACATGTCCGCGAAATTATTTCACCGCACAGTAGCCCTACCTTCTGTGTTAAGAAGCCCAACGACAAGTGGGTATTGTTCATGCCTTCAACAAGCCGAAAACCGCCACCATCCCGGCTCAAACTCCAATTCCCCGCAAGGAAATCATTGACGGCTTGGGCCATTCCAGCATCTATTCCACCATCGACTTACCCGATGGATTCAACCAAATCTTGATGCGTTTGGCCATTGTGCCCAAAACGGCGGTGTCAACCACCAGCGGCATGCTCTGGGAGTGGTTGGTAATGCCACAGGTGCTTTCCAACGCTCCCGCCACGTTCAATCGTATGGTGACCGCGAAGTTCCGCGTTCTGCGCGGAACTTCGCGGGCGGCGCGCCATCATACTTCGATGATATCTACATCCACAGTCGCGCGTCGGCAGCCTCTTCGCATACCGAGGTTCACCGCGGTCATCTCCACGCGGTGTTCGAAGTCCTCGGCGCTAACGACCTTTATGCCAACATGCCAAATTCCTCTTTGGCGTGGACGAAATACCTGTTCTCGGCGACTTAGTGGGTGTGCGTGGCTGTCGGGCTGATCCCGACAAGATTCAGGCCATTGAGGATTGGCCTGCCACATCCTCCGTCAACGACCTTCGGCGGTGGTTAGGCTTAGCCACCTACCTCCACAAACACTCGGCAAACTTCGCCGACGTCGCCCTTTGTTTCGTCTTTTGGTCAAAGACGCTCCTTGGGAGTGGGAGGACCCCCGTCGATGCTCCTTCGACGCCCTCAAGACCAGCTTGCAACTCATTCTGGAGCTTCCCAACTTTGGGTGTCCATTTTCGGTTGTGTGCGATGCATCTAAGTTCGCAATTGGATATATCTTAATGCAAGGCGACGCGGATTGACGCGCCCATCGCGTGTCATATCAAAGCCGCCAACTCGTTCCGGCGGTACGCTCTTACCCCGTTCACGACCTCTAACTTCTGTCGATGAAATACACCCTCACCAAATTCCGCATCTGCCTCCTTGGTAGCAAGCCCTTCGTGATCTACACAGATCACGCCTCCCTTCTCACGGTGATCAACTTGCCGCGCCTCTCGCAGCGAATGGAACGATAGCTTTTGTTCTGCGCTGAGCTTACCTTCACAGTCCAATACAAACCTGGTAAGGACAACATCCTTGCCGAAGCTCGCTCTCGTCGCCCCGACCTCGCCCTCAAGACTGTGGGGTTTCTCCATTCCGACCTCCAGAAACTCGTCCGCCCGGTTTACGCGTCGGATCCCACGTGTTCCACGTTTTTGTTGGCATTAACCGCATCTGCTTCTTCAAAGCCGGGTCGTTCTGTATCATTATTCCCAAACTATTTCATCCGCGATCGTCTCTTGTACTTCACCCCATCTCGCGGCGACTAACCTCGCATCGTCGTACCCAGCGACGCGCCATTACGCGCTGCAATTTTACGGTCTTTCCACGACTCTCCAAGTGGTGGCCATTTTGCCCGCGACAAGATGTTCAACGCGGTCGCGCGTTCTTACTGGAGGCCACGTCTTTATAAATCTGTGGCTCACTATGTCGCTCGTTGCGACGCCTGTCAGCGCGCCAAGGTCACCGCGGCTTCCAAAGCGCCGCTGCAACGTCTTCCGACACCCGACGAACTCTGGGCGTCCATCAGCATGGACTTTATGTTTGACCTCCCACGCGATGTTTGCGGCCATACCGGCATCATGGTGTGTGTCGATTGCGCCTCCAAATACGTGGCGGCGATTCCCGTAAAGGACTATAAACGTAATTGAAAAGTGAATTGGTAGCGTTATGGAATCTAACGCTACAGCTAAGCAGGGTCAGCCATCTTGAGCTGGTGAACACAAAGGGCCGGGGATGGTCCAACGCAAACGCGCGACGGGCCTTTGCTGTTTCATTGACGCGTAGCGCGTCGTTGGCAGCTCGTGGGTTTGGGTCTGAGTTTGTCTTCAACCTGTGGTGTGGTACGCGTACGTGTATCCGGATCGTGTATCTGGAACTATGACACCCTCCCACACTCAAACGAGCATATCGGAATATGCGAATCAACTGGCGCGTGGTTGAAGGCCGTTGGTCGGTGGAACTGGCGATCGTCAAATTCGCCCATCGTGGGTGGCATTCTTCAAATTGACAACATGGACGACGACCAGCTGAAGAAGGCCAAAGCGGTTGTGGACTTGACGGGCGATTACTCAGACAGCGACGAGTACTTCTTTGCAGGGAGCCAGCGGTTCCGAACTGGTCGTGAAAATCCGCTGCTTGACTTGTTCATGAAGAAGGAAGAGCAGCGGATCGATGCGGAGCATCAGGCAGCCACCGATATGGTTCAAATGGCGCTGCGTACGATGAGACCTATGGCAATGCGGGAATTGTTGCGAAATGAGATCATGGCCTTGAAAGAGCGCCACAGGAAGGAAACCATGCGACGCTAGCAGGAGATGGAGCAGGGGGCAGAGCTGTCAATGGCCGAGTCGATTGCCGAAGCCGATGCGCATGCAGCTCAAGCTGCCGAGGAGCAAGCGGGAAAGGCAAACACGGGGGCGTCGCCCGCGTTGGTGCAGGTGCGAAGGGCACCGATTGGACATGCGATGCCAATTTGGCAAGCGGCGCCGAACCTCAAAATAACGGAAGAATGCATTGGGCAAATGCAGGTGGAAAATGGACCGCTCGCGATGCGGCTGGAGGATGTCCACAGTCTGAAGTTGTACGAAGAGGATGGCTCCGTCTTTGGCGTCGCTGGACTACATCAACGGCAGGACGCGCCGTTTGCGGGTGCTGCAGCAACTTGACTCGCGACTGAAGGACTGGGGGTGGACACCGGCTTTGCGTGAGCTGGTGGAGCGATTTTATACTCTGTTCTGCCGGATCGGGTTGTTTGAGATCCAGGTTATCTCGCAGTCCGCGTTCAAATTCGGCATGCTCTTGACGTAAGGATGTTCTTGCGTCTGCGTCTGATCCCCATATTGTGGTTGTCCCATCTTGTACCTAGTACTGGAGCCCCGCCTAACGTCCCCTAGTCACTGCCGTGGTTTGCGATGGGGTCGACAACTTCTCCGGGCATGACGACGCCGGTAAAGCGGGCGGCGACAGAGTCAGCTCATCAGTCGATGCGTCTTGCGGGGCTTGAGCGCTGGAGTCCATGGTATGTGGTCCCGAGGGAGGTGCGGATGGCGCCCGGACGATCGAACGCAGGGTACTACGCGGCTCCAGGGGTCGCGCTGTTAGTTGGGGGCTTTGATTCCAGTGGCAGCGCTAGTGAACCGGGAATTGGAACCAGGGGTCGGCGTCATCGGCCGAGGATGGCCAAGTGGCAGAGGACTTGTGAAAGAGGACTTGGTCATTGGCTTGGAAGGTCGTCGTGTTGACTTGGGTAGGTTGTCGCTGCTGGGTGGCGGTTAGGTTGTCCTTGATCTGTTGCATGACAGATTAGCGCTTGGAAACGTAGGACTTTGCATCTTGTATACTGTAGTCCAATGCGGGAGATTAGGGGCGTTGATTTGGATCCTTCCCCCACTGAAACGAGGACTGTCTAAGAGTTGAGGCAGCCGGGGTGATGCAAGTGGACCGCATAAAGGGGCGAGAAGCCGGTGGACGCCTGAACGGAGACGTTATACACTCATGACAGAGATACATTTTCAGAATATGCATTCAATATGTAATATGGTAATTTGTATTGGGATATGCCCGGGTGCAAAAATCGATTGTTGTGTGGCAAGTCCTTGTACAATTGCGTTCGCTCATTGGTAGCCATAACCACGTTTCCAGCATTCTAATTGGCTAATCATATTCAAATAGGGACGCCCAACTCCCATTGGTTGCTGAGATATCCCAAAAATGTGAGCGCTCCCTATATTATGGCCATGCCCACCAAAACACCGACCGGATAACCTGACCGTTACGATCCATTATTGATTGGGTGGAATTTTCTTGTCATCACAACAATCATGGAGCCAATTGCCCGGATAATTTAGTATCCGACCAGTCTTCCAATCTTGAAACGACGCAAGAAAACGAGAAAGGGATCCCCACAGTTGGCATACGATGGATGGCGGTCAAGGAGACAGCATCGTGCTGGAAGAGGAGATCGACCCCAACTATGAGCCCACGGAAGACGAAGTCATCGAGTACGCCAAGTGGTTGGGCATGGACCTGGATGCCGAGCGCGAGTTGTTTTGGATCGCACGCGAAGGTCTGAAAGCGCCTTTACCGGAGAACTGGAAGCCGTGCAAGACGACGGACACGGGAGAGATCTACTACTTTAACTTTGCGTCGGGGGCGAGCACGTGGGACCATCCTTGCGACGAGGTACGTCAATCTCCCTTACCAGCGTCATGCCATCAATTGCAGTGTTAAAGTCATGCATGCTGTGCGTGTCGTAGTATTACCGTAAACTGTACGACGACCACAAGAAGAAAACAATCCAAGGCAAGAAATTCCAAGACACGGACGACAAGAAGAAAAAGGAAAAGGACGACATTGCTGAAATCCTGGGGAAAAAGCCCAAGAAAGCCCCGAAAAAGGCCCCCAAGGTCGAAACGTTGGGCACGGTCAAGTCGGGCATGGACAAGAAACCTCTTGGTGCGATTGGGAAGGTATGGGCATCATCTTCACACAAACTACAAGAACATATTGCATGTATATGCATGCCATCCACGTCGCCAACCAACATGTAGTTGCCGCTGCCGGGTGGCGGCTTGGGGGCCTTGAAACCGGTGGGGGGAGGCGCGTTGGGGGTACGTCTTGCATGCATGGCCTGGAACGTTGGCATTATGATCGCGATGTATGACGCAGAGACCAAGCGCGATGAGAGCGCAGGAAGGCAAGAGCGATAACGATGACAATGACGACGAAGAAGAAGGCAAGGCGGAACCGCCACCGATCAAAGCGTTGCCGTCACGGAAGCCTCTGGGAAAGAAAGATGTCAAGGTCGACGACGACAATGCGATCGTTGCGGCCAAGGTGCAAGAATTGGAGGCCAAGTTGCAATTGTTGGAGGACGAGCACAACAGCCAGGTTGCGTCGCTTCAAGCCAAAGTGTCTGCCAAGGAGAGTCAACTCAAGCAACAGCAGACCGAACTCGACGACGAGGCTGCGGCGATAGAGAAGAAGCTGCAAAAACTACAAAAAGACCATGCGGACGAAGTGGAAAACGTCAAGGAACTGGACAAGAAGTTATCGAAGCGGCGAAAAGACCTGGAAGCCGAGCACCGCGAAGCCTTGGACAACGCCGACTCCAAGTTTATGGAGAAGAAACGAGAGTTGACGCGAAAACAAGACAAAGAACTGAAGGACATGGACGAGAAGCACAAGGAAGCATTGGAAGGGATGGACGCGGCGCATGAAAAGGCGTTGCAGCGACAGGAAGCGCAGCGGCAAAAGGAGGAAATGCAGGCCGAGCATCGAGAAAAGGAGGAGTCGAATCGCGTGGACAAGCTCAACACGGAGCTCGACACGCTCAAGGCGGAGGTGGCGCAATACAAACGACAAGTGAATGTACTTGAAGGTAAACTCCAAGACGCAACAGCATCCAACCATCCACCCGAGCTAGTCTCGGATTTGGAAACGTCTATTGACGAGCTCAAAGCCCAAGTGGAAGCGTTGACGGCGCAGCTCAAGCAAAAGGACAAGGCGGAGGCGGCGTTGGAGGACAAATTAAAGCGACAAGCGGAGGCGTTCGAAGAATCGCGAGTTCGGGAGTCCACTGCTGTTGCTGCATCGTCGCCAAACAAGGAACTCGAGGGGTTGGAAGAGCAGGTCAAGGCCATGACAAAGCAGCTGGCTGAAGCCCACCTAAATGTTGCCAACGCAGAGGCCCAGACTAAAGTTTGGCAAGGAAAACACGCCAAGATGACGGAACACTTGACTGCATGGGAGTCCAAACACAACGACCTGCTTACCAAAGTCCACGGAGCGGAAGCTGCGCATGCTTCCACCATCGCTGGATGGGAACAAAAGGTCCACGACTTGACTTCCGCAACCACACACAACCCCAAAGAAAGTGCTGACGTCAACGAATGGCGCGAGAAATTCCAAGCGCTCGTGATCAAGCATGAAGCGGCGGACGCTGAATGCGCCGCGGCCAAGTCTACATGTACAGACTTGAAGCAACAAGTCGCAAAGTTAGAACAGCTCCAACGAGACGCCACGCTGAAGTACGAGGCCGCGTGCGCCGAAAAAAACCAAGTGATCGATGGGGCTTCCTTGGCAGACTCGAAGCTTGCAGAGTTGGAACGGACAATTGAATCGCTGACAGCATCGAAACGGACCTTGGTGGAGCAACTCGAAGATGCCAAAGCAGCACACCAAACTGCGCAAGAACGAACTGCACAAGAGCTGCGGGAAGCCAAAGCCGACGGCCAGTCGTGGCAGCGTCAGTACGATAAACTGATGGACACGACCAACCAGGACCAGGCGGTCAAGGACCAGCTCCAGCAATGGCAAGCTAAATACGACGAGTTGCAGCAGACGCACGAGGATGCGGTCGTGTCGTCGCGAGCGCAAATAGACGCTCTGGAGTGCAAAATCAAGGGACTGGAGCGGGATAACGTTGCGGTGGTCGATAGCTGGAAGGAGAAGATGGCGGACGCGGAAATCGACTGGCAGCGACAACTGACGTCGGCCAAGTCGACGATCGGCGACCTTCAGGCGAAATGGACGTCGATGCAAAGCCAAGAGTCGTCCACGTCTGGGTTGGTCGCGTCACTTCAAGAACAGCTCGACCAAGCCTACCGTCGAGCACAAGAAAGTCAGGATGCAATGGACGAACACGAACGATGTCACAAGCGAACGCTGGAGACACAGCAGTCTCAGTGGAAGCAGCAGCTGGACGACGTGCAAGCAACCCACGCGTTGGTGTTACAGGGGTTGAAAAGTGAAGCCATGGCCGCGGAGGCCGCCAAGCGCAAGGCGGACGACCAACGAGCGACGTTGGAGCGCAAACTCAAGCTAAAGGAAAACGAAGTGGCGAGCGTGGCGGCGCAAATGCAGGCCCAGCATACGTCTACGCACGAATCGACGACGTCGATGTGGGAATGGGAAAAGGAAAAGCTCACCAGTCAGTTGAAGCTTGTCGAGGGCGAAAGGACCGAAGCCGAATCGCGGCTAGACGCATTACGAATGGAACACGACGCGTTGCTCGACACCCACCATCGAGTGGTCCTTGACAAGGATGTGGCCGAGAAAAAGGTCAAGCAAGTCGAAGTCGACAAAGAGCAACTTGCTCAGAAACTCAAGGGGGTCGAAAAGGAGGTCGACATCGTGCAAGCCAAGTGGCGGGCGCTCACGACCGAAACCACAGACTTGAAATCGGCACTTAGTAAAGTCAAACTCGGACTGCAAACTGCCGAAGTTCAGTACGAAAAGGCCACGGACGAGTGCGCCGGGCTGGAGACATTGCTCAAGCAAGTTCGAGACACGAGCGACAAGCACCAGGCCGACGCCCGCGCGCTGCAGCTCCAGTTGGACGACGCGTTGTTTCAAAAGCAACGGGTAGAGCATGACCAGCTGGCACTGCACAACGAAGTGGACCGTCTAAAAGAGCAAATTGCCCTTCGATCGTCCAGTTCGTCGTTGACCAGCAGTGCCGAAAAGCAAGATAGTTTGCGCCAACAAGTGGAGCAACTGACGGCGGACGCGCGGGCTGCCAACGACAAAGTGCGGCAGCTGCAAGGCAAGGCCCAGGAATTTGAAACCAAGTTTAAGCAGGGTCAGGAAATGCACGATCGGCACGTGTCCATGTGGCAAGCGGAGAAGCAGAGTCTGGTCGACAAACTAGACAAGGTGAAAGGCCAGCAGCAACAGCTGGACCGGCAACTTCGAACGACGACCCATGACAAGGACGACGTTGAGGCAACGCGCGATCGGGTGCAAGTCGAGCTCGCTGATCTGGAAAAGCGGTGGAAGCTCCAAGGCGAAGCGTTGGCCGCGGCCCAGACCAAACTCACGGAAAACGTCCATCACATCGACGATCTGGAGGGCCAGAAGCGAGCCATGACGTACGAACTGCAAGCTGCCACCGGGAAATTGAAGCGCCTCGAGCTGGACTGCGACCGCACCAAGGCGGAATTAGCCACGCGGAGCCAAGAAAAGGACGCGATCGAGACGAAATGGCGGCTAGACGTGGTGCAGTTCGAAGCGAAACTCAAGAGCGTGCGGCAAGACCAATCCGACCTCGTCAACAAACGACTGGTGGACGAAGAAAGCAAACGCGAGGAAGCGACGCTTCAATGGAAACGCGATGCCGACGACAAGAAAAAGGAGTGGAACGCTCGCCTGAGTCAGTTGGAAATGGACAAGGCGACAGCCCAAACGCAGTTGGTTCAAACTACGACCGAGTTGGCGGTGTTGCAAAAGGACAAGGAGCATTGGACCACGCTCAAGCAAAAGCTGGAGGCGCAAGTGAAATCAATAACGGAATCAGCAGACAAAGATCGCCAGGACTGGCACGACCAACTGGACCAGGCCAAAACGAAATTGAAATCGGCGCTCGCCGAAAAGGACGCGCTGATGCTGTCCGTGGCTTCCTCGAGCACTCGCAGCAACAACAACAATCTGTCGATGCAGCAGCAGCAGGACCTTCCACCGACGGCATACGACAACGGACCCACGCACCTCAAGCTTCAAATGGCCCAAGTCAACAAGACGGAGCTGGAAACCCACTTGCACGACGTGACCATGCAGTGCGAGACGTGGCGACGCAAGGCGGCGCTGTTGGACTCGCGAAGCCGCGACTTGGCTTTGGAAATCGAAGCGTTGCATGTCGAAAATGCCGCGCTGCGGGCGTCCAGCCAACGCATGCACACGAGCGCATTGGAGAGTCTCACCACTGTGGAGCGCTTGAATTACGAGCACAAGAAGCGCATGGTGCGGGGTGAGTACATGGCGCAGCTGCGCGAGTTCACCGAGCGCGAGGAGCTGGCGTTCGCGCGACAAAAAGCGCGGGTGCGGGCGAGTTGTGAGCGGCAGTTGGACGAGCTAGTCGGAGACTTTGACAAGCAAAAGAACCAGCGCATGAACCAAGAAGAGCGCGATTTTCAGTCGGCCCTGCACCACTGCCAATCGGAAAACCAAATCAAACTGTCCCAAGTTCTCAAGGAGCATCGGGTACGTGCAATTTCGTAGGGTCGTGACAAGAAACATATGCATCACATACAGTCGTGTGTGGACTAGGACAAAGTGGCCGAGTTGGAGCACGATCTCCAAGTAAAACAGACGCAGCATCTGCACCATTTGTCGAAACAAATGCAAGAGGTTCGATGGAGGGTTTAGAAATCGATTTTTGGGGCCTGTGAAAATCATGATGCTAAAAGTGATTGATATAATGGAATAGGAGGAGCAACATTTGTCAGCAAGGTTGCGAGACACAAAGCAGCTCAATCGCGAAGAAGACCTGGCGCAGATTCCGAGTTTGCAACCCGGGGGCTTTGACGTGGCGTGGAAAGAGAAGCCTCAAGCGCCGACGGGTGTGGCCGCCGTCACGCCCCTGCGATCTCCTCCACGTCACAGAAAAGTGAGTAAATACTCCAAACCACGGCAACAAACATGGCGCCGTCGCATCCAGCAAGAGCACGACCTCCTCGCCAAAGCCAAGCAGTTTCTGGCCAAGCAGAAAAAGAGTCTCAAGCACCGAATGGCCAAGCTGCAAGATGAAAAGGACTGGTGGCAGCGCCAACCAAATCACCACACCAAGGCTCGTCACGAGATGAAGCAACTCTTAGAACAGGTACCCTCGATCTCTTTGTAGCTTTTTTTCAATGAGATGGTTAATCTGTAGCACGCACAACAATTGGCGCATGACGCCAAGGAGGTCAAGGCGACGGAAAAATGGCTGGTCAAGCGAGAACAGAAGATTCAATCGCTGGAGCGCACTTGCAATCATGGTACGTATATATTTCTTCATGCGATGACGTGGGAGCCACTCATGATCGTCGTCAAGGCTTTGAAGTGGACGACGAGGATGAAGAAGACGCGGACCCGTCCGAGACATCCGTAGAAGGTCATCTGGAGAGATTGCATGACGAGTTGGTGGCAGATGGGTCGACCATGTCGGCCAAACTGCAATCGTTTGCACGCAACCAAGATGCATCAGCGTTGGCATGGCCGTCGGAATTGCCCGTGCAATATGAACCTTCATCTTATCCTCCACGGGTGTATCCAACTCGAAGTAGCATGGACATGCCATACGCGTACCACATTAATACACCAAGCCGTGATTTGAACCGCTGGGCGTACCAGCCACAGTACACGACTCGACCTCCTGAACGGTGCAATATAGTTACACATTGTCGTTCGTTTTTTAAAGGCAATCTGTAGGGACCACTCGTATGAGCCATTCATGTCCAATAGTACTGCGCCACGTACGCCCATGTACGACACCAAGTTGAGCAACTGGGTCCACAAACGAGAACGAGCGAGCGCCGCAGCCAGCGCCCATAGCAACTACCTCCACCAACTATCGCAAGAGCTCAAAACGTACTCCAACAAGTATCAAACCGCGCATCATTCCGAAGGCGAGGTCGATGGGTTGCCATAATTTTGGCACGTCGAAGTGAATTGCTCAAAGCAAGTATACACAGAATCGTCGGCACAAGGCATCCACGTTGCTTGGATAGACTAGCAGGAGTAACGTTAAGAAGTAATGTACGCACTTGCTATGCACATTTTTCATAGTGTATGTATATCTATCGAATGTCAATATATATATTGAATGCCAAGAGCTGTCAGCAACATGTCAAAATTGGATGCACTGTTATGATTGGAACGTGGCATTCTTGAAAGTGAGTCGTCGTTGACCTGGTGTCGGTTTCATGAAGCCGCCAATCAAGTCTCAATCCGACATGACGGGCACGATCGCAGAGTCGCCGCGGTCGTTTGCGCTGAGCACGATGCCCACCATGGCCTTGCGCAAGCTGCATGCGATGCGGGACCTCGCCAAGCTCCCATTCACAGTCGAACCATCCTGTTCGCCGCTCCATGCAGCGGTACTCCACGGGCACGTCGACCACGTCATCCGGTACATTGCCTCAGCACCCTTGCTTGTGCACGCCGTCGATCGTGTAGGCGACAACTCCAATTGCCTCGTCAACCCATGGATTTTCAATTCGTTCTCATCGTGCACTGTGACGGATAGCACGGCAACACCCCATTGCACCATGCATGTGTTATTGGCCAGCATGAGATTGCACGGCTTTTGGTGGAGGGAGGGGGTGACGTGGACGCCCGAAACGCCACGGGCCACACACCCCTGCACAAGGCAGCGCTTGGTGGACACATGGCATGTGTAGCCCTGCTCATCGAGTCGCACGCCAACGTCTTGCGGAAAAACGAGGTCGTGTTGCTAGTCCACTAATTGGCAGTTTCACCAACTAATCATGTGTTTAGAAAGGGCAATATGCGTCGGATTTGGCTGGGTGGCGCATGCATACGGACGTGACGAAGTACCTCCGGGACTTGGGTACAATATCATCGGTTGCGGTTTGCCAAGGAGGTTTGACACGTGCCTTTACTTAGATCTGAAAGCGATCCTCCAGATCCTGCCAGACGAAGTACTACATATCGATCCCAGCACTGATAGTTCCTGACCCGTCCACGTTGGTCTAGCAAGGCAACACACGTCTGCATTATGCCGCAGCGTGCAACAAACTGAATGCCGTGATCTCAATTCTGCAAGACCGCATGCAGAATGACGTGGACGTTCGCAACAAAGTTCGGCTGAGTGCAAAACACCAAAGGGAACAAATCTCTAAAGCAACGGTGTAGGCTGGGGAAACCCCCCTTCATGCGGCTGCAAGGGAAGGGCATTACGACATTATTGAAGCTTTGGTAGCAAGGGGGGCCAACCCTTGCGCCGTTACTTTGGTGCATCCGCCAATGAAGCGAATGAATCTGACCATAGTCATGATGTAGAGTGGAGAATGTGCTGTGACCTTGGCTGGGGGGCACCATATTCGAGTGCGCAACGGTCTCTTGCGTCTTGGTACAGCGCATTCTCTATTAATGAATCCATTCCAGTCACAGTTTTATGACTAGAACGAACGTATTTGACGGATCAATTCGATCAAGAAGAGGTTGGTTAGTGGATTCGTTCATTCGACCATCCTCATAGTCTGACGATGTAGAATGGAAACTCGGCGCTTCATGTTGCATGCGCTCTAGGCCGCGTCTCTCTCGTCAAGGAACTCCTCGATTCTAATGACGACTTGGACTGCATTAATCATGTAAGATAGTACATGTTTCTCAATTGTTGTACCATGCTAAACCACGTCACTTCCAGGATGGAAATACTCCGTTGCATGTGGCAGTGGCACACGACCGAGTGGACGTGGTCACCTTCTTGCTGGCCAATGCACCAATGATCGACGTCACTGTCAGAAACAACGTGAGCATCGTGACACTGCACCATGTTTTGCTAAAACTTTTCTGTTTATAGGTTGGCCAAAGCGCTGCCGACTTAGGCTCGAGTAGCCCTTCGTTGCGGTGGTCATTGCTCCGTGCAGGTTTGCGCGGCTGTAGAAGATACCCACGAAACACTCCCATCGTGCTTTGTAGAAGCGGAGGTCGTGGCTCGGTATTGTGTGGACTCCGTCGTCGAAAGCTGGGACCGCCAAATGTTGTGAGAGACCGCATGAGCCAGGACAACTCAACCTCCTGTTTCGTCGTCCAGTTGTGACAATGTCAGGATTGACGACATGATCTTTTTACCGGTAACGTAATGACGACTCTAGAAGAGTTCAGGAGCATCAGCTTAATGTGTACGTTCATATTCCGACTTTTGGAAAAGGAACACATGTGTTCTATATGAGATATCATGTCAACGCCATAACACCTCCTTGCAGTTCAAGCTTGGTTCAGTTTACCTCCTAGTAGTACTAGGGGGTAAACTGTGTCAACTACCGGAGTAGTTGGCATTGTTTCCACCCCTTGCTTGGTCTATCGTTGGGGCACCTTCCTCTCCTTCGTATGGGAGTTATCTCCATTTCACGCGAAGGTAACGCTCTCACGTGTGTCAGTCTGTCGCTCACAAAATCAGCAGCATTCCGTTTGTCGGTTTCAGGACAACATACCGTTTCAACGGCATGCAGTATCCGGATGACATGTCACCCTGTCATCCGGTTAAAAAGGCAGCAGCGGGGAACTATCAAAAACAGAGACGGCGACGACATGGCGCCCTCCAAAGCGGCGATTGTCCAAGCGAAGATTCGCCACGAGCTTCGGCTCTTGCATGAGAACGGCGACGTGTCTGAAAGCATCCAACATATGGCGGCGTACTTCCTCGAGCTCATGCATCAGCTAGCACACAACACCATCGCCGTCGCGGACGTGGTGGACGCGCACCACCGCATGGAGTCGTTCCTTGTCGCGAACGCCACATCCCAACATATCGTTGTCTTTGAAAGCGCCATGCTCGAGTTGACTCGCGCGGCGATTTTTACGGCGCTGCATGAATCCCTTCGTGCCCTTTTGTCGTTTGGGGCATTCGTGCCATCCGCGCTGCGCTACTGGAAGCGACAGCTCAAGCAACCCCTCGACCTGTTCTTGCTGACATTGCCAGACAAAGTCTGGGAGCCATCGTATGTCCACGTCGTTACATGTCAAGTTGATGGCACTGAGCCTTGTGTGTAGCGGAGGCGTCATCTCCACGGACGACAAGATTCGCATCTTAGACGAAACGTACGAGACGATGCTGGTAATTATGGTTCTCCGCATTTCAATTCTTTTGTGTCCAGCCAATTTACAATTGTTTTTCAGTATATTTATGACGCAAATGGCCGAATTCAAACCATGTGACATGGATATTTAGGTACACATTGGCGAGTTGAAGCAACAGATGCTTAAGTGGCCCCATGCCGAACCAAACCGATACCAAGACATGATGCACACGTCTCGAACGCTGTTGCTCAAAGTGTTTTCTACCAAGCATTTGACGATTCGGTACACCTGTGTTTGAAACACTGCCAACACCGCAGAAAATCTCTCTGATGATGGGCATATCTGTTAGGCCCAATGCAGTGACCATCGATGCCGCCGAGACTGTCGGCGCCTCAGCGCTTGCTTCGTCGGGTAGTACACTATTTCATCTGTGCATGCAGTGTTTTTTGCCTTCCACAATCTAACTAGTCGTGGCTAGGTCGTCCTCGATATGAACTGAAATCGGTGCTTGACTTCCTATCGCACTTGCCTGTTCTTCGAGCTACGTACAAGGTATAACTCGTCAGTTGGTGGTTGGTGTTTGATTCCATTTGATTGGCTGAAAATACATGTCCAAGAGCCAATCAAATCCATGATTCAAATATTGGATTAGCAGCCCATAGTGTTTGGCGAGTTTGGACATTTGTAACCCGAGTCGTCGTCCACAATCATACTTGCGTATATGAAGGCCATATATCTAGTCGAGATGTGCTTGATATGTGGTGGTAATAGGGAGAGTTAGACAGCGCCCTCGAAGGATGCACGATCCCGCCGTTTCTCCGTCGCCGGTAAACCCCACTCCCATTCCTAGTTGGTTTGAAATGAATCAAACGATAACACGGCGGACTAGTTGGTGGCAAGTGTCTGTGGGGGCTGTTGGGGTGTCGCTTGGCGTGATGTACGTCGTGCGCAATAGCCACGAACTGCACGACCTCGCCCTTACTATGCACAAGGGCATCCGCGACTTCGTTGTCGACCACATGGTCGTGCCGCTCAAGTATGTCGTCGTTCGAGTTATATATATATATATATATAGTGAATGAATATGAATATAGCAACATTGTGGGGGAGATTTTGCTCAGTAAAAAGTCGTTGATTCAAGACCCACTGGCGCTGAATGACTCGAAAGAAAGCTTGCAGCGCATGCTCGCCGACTTTATTCACGACACCAACCCGTCCCTACCTCTGTCTGTACAACACGATATGGTAAGGTATATTTATATATATTATGTTGATCTATATATTTATATAATATGCTGATCCGTGTATTTTTGTAGGTGGCCAATATGGACATGTCGGTCGTCTCGTTGCAGTACGAGAAGGAACTGCCCAAAGCCGTGCGCAACCTTGTCACAGGCGATATTGTGCGCATGATGCTTATCCAAGTACGTCGTTTGATAGTTTTCAAATATATATATATATATATATATATATATATATATATATATATATATATATATATATATATTGATTGGAGTAGATTCAATTCATCAAGAAAGAACTGATGGTCGCCATGAAAGCCATCGACGATTTGATGGACGCGAACCAGCTCAACATGCAAATGATGGCGACGCTGCCCATGTTTGTCGTCGCGGGGGGCGCCTATTTTGCCATCTCGAAAACATCCAGGTCAATATATATATATATATATATATGTTCGTTGCAATCTTTCATTATATATGTATGTTCTTGGCGATATGAGTGGATGTATAAATATATATTATATATTAGGCTTTTGTACCAATTTACAAGTTCGGCCATGTACGAAGACCCAAAGAGCGTGGCGTCTCAAATTCGCTACACGCTGCGAGACATTGAGCGGTTGCTCAACATGCAAAACACATCGCATGCATCCATCGACTCGCTTCCAGGACTGAGCAGTCAGATGTCGACTAGTACCATGTCTCCACGTATGTTTATATATATATATTTTTTTTTTTGATAGGGTGATGATGGTCACTGGTAGTGTTGCGGGCGGCCTCGGCAGCTGGAGACGGACCTGGCACGACGTTGGGTGTTCGGGACATGGGGTACTTGGTGGTGTTGCTGGATCAATTGCAGCAACTGTTTGAGCGCAACCGAGGGTAAGTGCCAACCATTCGATTCAATCGATCATGATTGTTTGGATGGATGGACGGCGTAGGTACTTTGACGACGCCGAGCAAAAACGATTCGACGAAGACGTCAACGATTTAGTCGGCGACCACATGCTCGTGTCGCAGCAACTTGCTGTGATCGCCCGCATGTACCACAGCCACGCGTTCCTGGCCCAAGGCGTGAGTTCCAAGTGGTTCCACTAGTTTATCGCGCGCGAATATAAGCGGCGGACGACTAACATTGAAAGTGGATGACGTTCATTCAACTGTTTTTGGCCATGCATAAAGTTACTATGATTTACATCATGACGGTCACAGGGGTTGGCAAGGACCCGCCGTTCGTGCTCACTATTGCAATGGAAGAGTACTTACGACGTCAAACCGATCGGAATATGACATATAGATAGACTATGCATGGGTGGTGGTCGATGTGTACTGACTGCAAAACAAGAAAGAATACAATAACACACCAGCATGTATGCTCCACGATGGCTGAACGTACAGTGTTAGTCATCCATGTATTCCTACAGGTAGTACGTAGATGAGGACGTGTACTGCAGTCACGTGTGCGTGTGGCTACGGTTGCAAAGCAGCACAACGCAGAGGCGACAACTATCATTGCGCATCACGACTTGTTAGTTAGTGCGAATGCAAACAAGAATGCAATCGGGTCACTAGCGACGCATAGAGTACATATCGTTATTCGTTCGTGCAATACTAACGTTACCAATCCATGACATGAACGGGAGAATCTACATATAATGCAGATCCTGAATATGGAGCATGGCGAAGACTTGTGTGCCGCCAGAGCAATATTGTCGAGCGAGAACACGATTACATTCGTCGCCAATTACGCCGGATGGTCCCACATATGTGCTTGATAATCCCGTCAAATAGTAATTGGCGCTTTTCCTCTTGATTACTTTCATTTGCCATCGCATTCCACAACACACACAAGTTCAATCTTGAACTAGTCGTCCATTCGTTCCGAAATCTCGTCAGGTCGTTTCTTGTATACTCGTACTATTAATAATACTTTGTACCATTGCAATATACTACCGTAAGTTAGTAGTACACGTAAGTCGTACTATTAATAATAGTATTTTACTGTATTACCACAAGAATGTATATATTATATATATACTAGTAGTATATACATAACGTTACTACTGTAGTCATTCATATACATATTCGACGACGGTGATGTTGTCCAGAGCGCAACAACAGGCAAGTCGTCACCCGATACGTACATCATGGTTTCACTGGCGTGGGGCCCAAGATCATGAGCATCCCTGCCAACAACACTGTGCCCGCGCGCAAGTACGCGGAATGGACGGGAGGAGCATGCATGCATCCGAATGGAGCAAAGTCCACCTCCAAGACGTCGTCGAAGCTGCTCGAATCGCGACCAGGAAGTGCATGGCATCTTGGGCTACTTACACTGCACTACTCATTGTGGTTCGGCAACTTTCTTTCGTGTTCTACGGTGGCAGCACCATGGGCGACTTTGTGTGCGACAGACAGCGTTTCCGTTTAAGGACGTCGAGGGGTTGGGTCACTTTTGACTTTTAACGGTCAGCCAAGGATTATAACACTTCGGCAATGCATGATACATATTTCAACGGCATGATTGTACTGTTAAATGCCATGTCCAGAGGGTTGGGGGGTTCTGTAGACAATGTGTGGGTCGGTAACATGAGCGATAGATTGCCACGATGGCTGAATCCATCCAAGTCGTTCTACAGGTCGAATGCAAGAGTGCTACGACTGCCATCACAACACTCAACCTTCTTGACATATATATTTTTGATTGAACTTCCAATCACATCGTCCATGTATATATACAATACCTACACAGCAACATCTACGTTTACCAGCCCATGGGAAGGCCGTCGCCGCGGCCGTCCGACCCAGCGCACAACACGCCGTTGCGGGGGTTCTTGGTGATAATCTGGCCGCGGCCCACGGTGCTGACTTGGGTTGTGTCCAACACTCGGATCGCATGGCCTTTCAGCCGAAGGGCTTCCACAACGGCCTCATCCACGCCAGGCTCGACGTACACGTACGAGAAGTCGCCTTCGGAAGTGCCAATGCAGAAGCGAGGAACGTCCAGCGCCGCCTGGGGGTCCATGTGGAACAGCAACTGATTGAGCAACAGTTGGACGTGGCCTTGCGGTTGCATGAAACTACTCCACAAGATCACAACGATCCTGTTAAGTTACAAATGTCTTACCCGCCCATGACAGTAAACGTCGAGTGCAGCAGTTGGGAGTCGGAATACAAGGCCAACGCCGGGATAATCGTGTGGTACGGACGCTTTCCGGGCGCAAACACGTTTGGGTGGCCGTGTTGGAGCGAGAAATTCGCCCCTCGGTTCTGCAACGTAAAGCCCACGCCCTGTGGAATCAAGCCTAGTTGTCATACCAAATTGTTAAGCTAGTTAGTCGCTGGCGTAGCTACACTAAAAGCAATACGCACCCGTGCCAAAGCCAGCGTAGTTGCTGTTCACCATCGACACGGCGTTGCCAGCGCCGTCCACGACTTGGAAGCTCACCGTGCCACTCGACAACACTGGCGACCCTCGCTTTGGGTCCACTGCCGCCTGCATAAAGTATATGGTCAAGTTGTAGAAGTTTGATAGATATTATATATATACGAGACCAAAAATCGGTATGAATACCTTGTCTGGATGAACCAATGCAATGCGCGCCTTGGCATACTCGTCACTAAGCAGCTCCGCCACGGGCACGTGCTCAAAGGTCGGGTCCGTGACGAACCACCGAGTGTCGAGGAAGGCGAGGCGGAGGACTTCGATGAGCGTGTGAAGGTACTGCGCCGAGTTGTGCTGTTGCTTCCAGTCGTCGCCGTCGACTTGCTTGAGCAGATTCAACGCCATGAGAGCGGTGATGCCTTGGCCGTTGGGCGGTACTTCGTACACATCCACGCCTTCATATGAGACCTTGATCGGGTCCACGAACGTCGACGTGTGCTGTGCCAAGTCCTACATTATAAGAGTATATGTATTGTTACATGAGATAGACTAAAAGCAGAAAGAGCAAATGAAAAACAACTTGGGATTGTACGTAGTGTGTATACGTAGTACCGACCTCCAACGACAAGACACCCCCCTGCGCTTGTACGGAGGCCACTATAGCTTCGGCCACTCGACCTACCGAATAAAAGGAAGCATGACCATCTTGGGGGGCTTGGGGGAAAGGACAAGATGATTGTTTGCACAGTATGTACCTTGGTAAAAGCCGGCTTTTCCTTTGGCCGCCACTTCTTCCAAGCTTGACGCCAGCGACAGGTTTCGGAAGATCTAGAGAGGATAAAGATCGTCAGGCATGTGCACGTAGCAGCAACGGGCAACGAGGGGTTATTGTACGGTCATGGGGAAGGTGGTGAACGCACCTCGCCAACTCCAGGGGCGTATCCGTCCACAAGCAACGCCTATGGTCATACCATGGTCAAATCCTTCTGCATCGTAGGTATCATCGTTCAACGTACATCAGGATGCGGCCATTGCTTTAGTCGTGCAACTCTACGATGTTCATATATATTAACTTTGGATAATATCTAAGAAGAAATAATAATAAAAATAGTGGAGATTAACGTACCCTCGTTTCCACGCGACCGCCGTTTGCGTCGACACGGGAAATCCACTTTTGGCCAAGTCGATCGCTGGACGAAGCACTTGGTCGATCGTGAGCGAGCCCCACGCGTCGACGGCGTCCACCCAGCCAGCGACCGCACCTGGTACCTAAAGCCAGCATGATGGTCACATGGCATGCATATCGGCGGCAAACGATCGAACGAACCGTGATGGCGTGGACATTGTCGAGGGCAAACGCGGCTTGACCAGGACAATCCTTTCTGGCCTGTTCGAGCGTCAATGCTTGCGCACTGCGGCCGCTGCCATTGAGCGCCGACACTTTCTTGGTCGCGGCATCGTAATGCAATAGGAAGCAGTCGCCCCCCATGCCTGTGGAGCACGGCTCCACCACTGATGGGAGTACAGAATGAACATGACATAGTTTGCTGGGAGGGTTACGTAACGTACATGCCAATGTAGCAGCAATGGCGATAGCGGCGTCAGTGGCATTTCCACCCTGCTTGAGAATGCGCAGCCCGATCTCGGACGCTTGAGGGTGGTTCGTCGCGACCAAACCGTGGATCGCGTGCACCTACGTGCACGTGTGGCGTTGAACATGGAAGAACGTGAAGGTATGTAGGTACAGGAGAACGAGTGAATGTTTTGGACAGGTAGGTGCGAGGGGTGTACGGCGACGTCATGGCTGCTGTTGCGGTCAGGGACAGGGACAGAATTGCGAATGTCTTTCAGTGTCTGAGCTTTTTGGAATAGTGTCGCATAGGTTTGATATAGTGTGACTTTCAGTTTCTGAACTTTTTGGACGACGTCGGAAAGTACCTGATAATCGTGAAATAGTGTCACATTGTTTTAATTGTACAGAGTATAACAATATTTAGTGTGTTGTAGGACTGACAGGGAGGTCGGGACCTGGACGCATCAAAACACAAAGTTACGCAAGGCCAAAATCGAGGCCTTCATGGTTGGCGAAAGCAAAATCTGGAGTTTCCTCGCAGTCATCCAACTTGTTGGAGAGGGACATTGGCTGCTGTACTGACACGCTTTCTATCGCTCGCTGCGGTCCTGCATTCAGAATTCGCGCCGTTTCACCACGAAAACTGAGCAGTTCCGGATACTCCGAGTATTTCATTACTTTTGCGGATGCAATATTTTATTCGCATATGCATGGTTTTGTGGAAAATTTCTCGGACGACATGTCGACATGCGCATACGGGTATATCGAAAATGGACTAACTTTGAAGACGCTTTTCTTGAGCTGTGTACTAGTTACAGCAATACTACTCGTACTACTAGATAGTCCATTACTAGCTCAGCCTATGCAGCATAGTCTGTGCATACGAAGTTGTCTTTCTCTGCAGCTGTTGATTCAGGCGACATGGAATAAGGTGTTCTTGGTACTATTAGTTATTGTTATCCCGTTGTGCAGTAAGCATAGAGAAATCGCTGACCTGCTGCATTGCGCCTTTCCCACACACATGCACAATCTGCAGGATGTATAAATCGTTTTGCAAAACGTAAATAATTATGGAGATGAATAAAATGTTCAAGCGAATAATAATATGTAACTGTCGCGCGCATATTCACGCCGTTTGATAGCAGATTGAGTTCCTGGTTGACTCACACGTGACATCTTGAACAAAGTTGCATGTATCCCCTCGACAATGGTACACCATGATTCGAAGGAATCAAGGACCTTTAATTCTTCACAGTGATGTGTTTGTGTCCTGTTCCCGCATCTCTCTCTGAAAACCGTTTTGGGTAGTAACGTTATTGTCAAATGGATGGGTGAAAAACAATACAGTACTATTAATAGCAACGGTTTCAGCGAAACCACCCAAGGAAACGCATGTCACTCATGGTCAATCCACCCACGTAATATAAACTAGTACCAGAAGTACGAGCATGTTGCACTAGCGCATCCCATATAATAATGTTTCTATGGGTAGTGTAATTTGGCTATTAGTTGCAACATCCATTCATGGGATTAATATGTATAGTTAGTTCTACGAACTACATCTTGCACATCTTGTTAGAACTCTGGAGGAGAGTACTAGTACTAGTAGTAGTATTTTCGACTCTAATTTTACCCCGAGTTTCAAAACGCATGGGGTTCCATCTTGGGGGCGTTGGTTATTCATAGCCTAGTTCGCTTGATGGTTTCAGTGTTGATTCAGTTAGAGAGTGAAAGAAAGACTGGTACTACGCATGGGTCGTCGGTCGTCCAAGTCGCACCTTCAGGCGTTGCCGACGATGCTTCGCGACACCAAGATGGGCTACATCATGATCGCGTACGGTCCGTCGGCGCTCAAGGTGCTCGTGTCGGCGATGTGTGTGCTGTTGGTATCGGTGGACGTGACGTTCAACAACTGGGAATTGAACCAAGTCCTTGGCAACGGCAACGCGCTGCTGACGCCGCTGCTCAACACACAGTCGTCAGACGACCTGCCCAAGATGTACTCGTTTCCCCGAGGCATGTCGCTCGATACCGCGTCGACCGTGGGCGTGTTCATGCTCAATTACACGATTCAAAAGATCAGCATTCGGGACGACACAATTTACACGCTCACGGCGGATTCGTTCTTGATCGACAACCCAGCCAACGACATTTGCGGGATTTTGAAACAGTCGTACCCGGTGGCCGAAAACTCGGGCGTGGGGTCGTCCATGAAATTAGGGGTGATCAAAGATGGTATCCAATACGTCCGAGGGATCGCGCTCACCAACATCTTCAACGGCTTGGGCACCATGGCCCCGGCTGGAACCCGCGCCGACGACCTCATCGCGTTGGGTTACACGCCGGCGCGAACGGAAACCGACATGCGCTTGACCACCGCGGTCGTGGTGCCTCCCATCGGCACCACCGCGTACGCCAATGTGTCCATGTATCGGTTTTACCCCCGCGCGTTCTGCACGGGGTGCGAGCCTGTCTCGGAGCTCGGGCTGGACGTGTGCACCCTTGCGATGTCGTACAACGCGACCACGCGGTCGCTCGTGGTGCAGTCCAGCAAAGCCATCTACGGCCAAGACCACGTCATGGGCTTCATCCTCGATCGCACCGCCACGACCAAGGGGTCGCTGTACGTGCGTGGGTTTTGTGTGCTGTTTGTCATGGTAGCGTACGCCACGAGTCAGAAGACCGTGCGGTGGACGGACGGTGCGACGCTCACGTCGTGGTACAACAAGTTGTCGTATATGATTTCGCCGACGCTGCTGCGGTACCCGTGCCACACGTTTGACTTTTCCTACTTTTGCTTCAACAGCGACGTGTTCGTCGTGGGGTACGTGGCCGCGGTGCTGCTGGACGAAAAGGCATGCAACATCTACTCGCGCGCCATGTTTTCGTGGTTCAAGAACACGTCGACCAACTCGACCAACTCGTGGGTGTTTGTTCGCATTTTGGCCATGAACTTTCGGTGGATGTGGCTCAACTGCCTCTTAATCAAGTTCGTCAAGTTTGTCGCAAACTACACCACCGCCACGCGGTACACGGGGCGAAACTTTATCGTGGGGTACTTTAACTTCAGCTCACCCACGTTTGTGTACATTGCGGGGCTGTTCTTTGTCGCCCGCAATAACTTTCTCGACTACGGGTTGATGGACAAGGTCACGCTGCTGTCGACAACGCAGTCATTGGAGGGCATTTCCGTCAACTTTTTCACGAGCGCGCTCCTCCGGGGGTATCCAAGCCTCGTGCTGTTCATGCTCATCAACTTGTTTGTGATCTTGACCGTGGACTTGCTGGTGAATCGCAAGTGGTGGCGCCTCGTGTCCCAGAACTCGTTGGGACGGCAGCACATGTTCAACTCGACGTCGATCATTGCCGACTCAGGGTGCAACTTTGTCGAGTTGAAAGAGTACGACAACCCCGTGCTGTTGATTTCGGTCCGATCGCTGTGCACGATTCAGTGGTTCCTCACGAGCCAGACGATTCGGTTTGGCCTGCCAGAGCACCCGTCCACGTTTCGCGACATGACGTCCAAAGGCGCGTCGACGCGTCACAAGTCGATGACGTTGAGCAAGAGCAATGCGGGGAATGCGTCACAAGGCGAATTCGAGCCTGTCTCTAATTCCGAATTGCTCATGGTGTCCCAGGATGAGGACGGCTATATCCACCTCTACAACGCCCTCAAAACCGAGGTCCAAGCACTGAGCATGGAAGTCAAGGTTCTCGCGGATTCCAAATACCAGCTCGCTTAGTACTAGCGTTCGTTGGTGCCCTCGTGACGCCCTCGTGACGCCCCATATATACGTATGAGAAATAGATATGTTCATGTTCACAGCATCTTTGCTCCTAGTACTTATGGGGGCTCTTAGACTTATCTATTATGCCAACCAAGGCGTGCAATACGTATTGTGTGGTCGGAGATGTCATGATTGTGGTGCTGTCGAACTCTTGGAGATTGAACCAAAACCTCAAGTCCACAACAAACCCGAAAACCCCGAAACCCCGTAGTGTTAAGTGCGAGTGTTTGGTTGGCTAATATAATAAACATGATATTTTTTACAACTTCACTTTGTCAGTCGACGACGACACCACTTCCGAGTTGACAAGAATCATGGATGACTTGTCCCGCCTGCTAGAAGGCACTCTCTCAAACGACACTGCACGCCGCGAATCCGCAGAAGCCCACTTGACCGAGTCGCTGTCGTCGCCTGGGTTTGCATTGCTACTCACGCAGTACCTCCAAGCCCCGCTTTCGCTGTCGCTTGCCCAACTCGCAGCCGTGCTGCTCAAGAAGTTTGTGTTGGCACACTGGGAGGAGACGACGGGTGAAGACTCGACGTATGTAATTGGTGACGCTGAAAAAGGCCAAGTGCGCAACCTGCTCGTGCACAGCCTGGACAACCTCGCCCACGGTACAGCCCCCAGCCACTTTGGAGACTCCAAGTTCCAAACTGCGTACAGTCTCGTGTTGGCCGAACTCGTCAAGCATGACTGGCCTGAGAAGTGGCCCGCCCTCGTGCCTGGGATCATCGAGCTCATGGCCACACACACGGATTTTGCGCTCAAGTTCTTCAGCGTCGCCACCGACCACATCGCGTCGGACCACTTTGTCGAGCTGGTCCCGCTGCTGTTTCCGCACTTGGAGCGCGTGTTTGACTCGCCGTCGACTCCCCCGCGGCTCCAGGGCCGAGTCGTGGCCATCGTACAAACCTGCCTCGCCATGCTGGGCATGATGTCTCAGTCGGGCGAGTCGGCCCAGGCCGGTGTCGTGCTGCAGGCCACCGTCTCCCCGTGGATCGGTCGCTTTGTGCGCGCACTGCAAAGCCAACCAAGCCAGCACCGCGGACTGTCCATCGTGGTAGTCCGAGCTCTCACGTCGTTCATCGTGGAATGGCCCAAGGACATGAGCACTCTGGTGCCATCGATCTTGCCGCCGGTATGTATATACCACATACACCTACTAAATCAACTCATGGAGGGGGGACTTAGGTATGGCAGCTGCTTGTCTCGTCCGTGGCCGCCTACGAAGCCGACGTTGTCCTCGACGGCGAAGGACACGACGACGACGGGTACGACAGCGACGGCGAGCCGATCGGCCAAGCTGCGCTGACCATGGAACTGTTTGACTTTGTGCGGGGACTGGTGCATGCCCCAACAAAGAAGACGCGGGCACTTGTAACTGCGTCCCTCCATCCTCTCGTGCACACGATGGTCGCGTACATGCAGATCACCCGCGCGCAGCTGGAGCTGTGGACGGACGACCCGAACCAGTACGTGGTGGACGAGGACGACGACAGTCTGCAACACAACGTGCGCAACACGGGCGTGGACTTGCTGCGGGAACTCGAGACGACCCTTGGCACGAGTGTGCTCACGGCGTCGATTCAAGCCACCCATCAACGCCTGACCGAGTCGTCGTGGCGCGTCCAAGAGGCGGCGTTGCTGGTCATGGGCGCGTTGGCCGAACCGTTGCTCATGACGGTAAGTCGATTGTTAAGAAAGTTGTGGACAAACATATGTAATTTCTTATAAACGTTTATGTGTAGCGAGCCACGAGCGACGCCGCCCCCACGGGCTTGGACTTGCCTAGCTTTTTGACCACACTGTTTGACGTGATGCACGCTGCAGAGTCCAGTACGTGTGTGTGTGTGCTTATATATACTAGCTCGAAATACAACAGGATTCAGAACGGTATGTATGTATGTAAGTATAGACATTTACCTCAAAGCCCGGGCGCTGTGGTGTGCCAGTCGGTTTGCGACCGTGATGACTGAAGCCCAGCTGCTTGCGTTCATCCAAGTGGCCATCTCAGGACTCGACCCCGCCCAAGTGATTCCCGTCAAGTTGTACGCGTGCCGCGCCCTCGGCACGTTTGTGCAGCATGAAAAAGGTATACGACCCCGAACGTTCGCGGAATGTTCTTCCTTGACGGACCCGTAGCCGACGCGATCTTGCCGCCATTCGCCACGACCATTGTCGACCGACTGCTGCATTTGACAGTGGACGCCACGCCCGAAACGTTGCATGTCGTGCTCGAAACGCTGGTACAGTTCGTCGTCGTCGCCTTTTCTAACAGGATATGACACAGGCTCTCGTCGTCGTCGTGCCAGGCACACCCGTGCAACGTGTCTTGACCTGCGTCGTGCCGTTGTGGCTCCGCCACTTGGACGACCGCATGGTGCACGATGTGACGGTCGACATCCTCGCCGCTTTGGTCGCGGACGCAGATGCCGCCCCAGTAGTTTTAACCCACGTCGTGCCCGTCCTCGCCAACGTGTTCAACTCTCTGTACGTGCTGCAAGCGATCGAAGTCGTGGAGCTCCTCGTGAAGCAAGCGGCGGTGGCGCCTCTGGTCGTGCCGGTGTTGTTGGATCCGCTGCTGCACATCCTCATCACGACCGACGACGGGTCCGCCTTGCAGCACGGGGGGGACGTCCTCAAGTGGATCGTCTTGTACGCATCGCCGCAGCTGGAGCATTTTTCTTCTCCCTCCACAGGTCCGGTGTCTATCACAAAAATCCCTGACGTTCCGAGGTCATGTATCTATATGCATGCAGGTGCGAGTGGCGTCGATGGCGTCATGCAAGTCGTGGCCAAGCTGCTGTCGCCGGACGTGTCGGACTCGGGGGCGATGGGTGTGGGGGGCCTTGTGACCCAAGTCCTCCTCCGGCTCGCCCCCTTGCTGCCCGTCGCGACCGTCCACCAGCTGCTTCATGCTGTGTCCACCCGCCTCGCTAGTGCGCAAATGCCGTCGCTGATTCAGTCACTGTGCACCGTGTACGCCCGCCTCGTGCATTCATTCGGCGTGGCGACCATCGTGGACGCGCTCGAGTCGCTGGGCGTGTGCTCGTTTGTGCTCACGACGTGGATCGAGCATCAGGGTGACTTTTACGGCCTCTACGCGATCAAAGTGACGCTCTTGGCGCTGCTCAAGCTGCTCGAGTCCCAGCATCCGGTCGTGCTGGCGCTGGTAGTCCAAGGCGAGATGGTGCAAAATCACACGTCGTCCACCAAGCGGGCGCTGCGATCGGCCAACAAAGCCGAGCCGACGTCACGGCAATACACGCAAGTGTCGTTTGCGACCAAATTGGTGAGCATCCTTGCCATGACGTACGCGCAATTCGAAGACGAAGCCGAAGCCGACGACATGGATTCGTCCGACGAAGAAGAAAGTGATGATGGTGACGACAGTGACGAAGAAGTATCGGTATGTTGCGCAAAGTGTTAAAGATATATATGATCGCTTGGTCGTGGCGTGTAGGCGACGTCGGTGCGACCTGGAGGCCCATCGTCGATCTTTGCACCCAGTGGTATGTCATTTTGAAAAGTATGTCATAGTTGTGATGTACTCTTGACATTGTAGAGGACTTTTTGCTGTCTGACATGCTGGATGGTGGTTCTGAACCGGACGGCGACGACGAAGATGAGATCGAAGCTGCGATGGACCCCCTCAACGACGTCGACTTGAAGGTACACAGACGATCGATGAGATTGAAACGCTTATATGGCGATTCATGGCGGCTGTGGTCTATATGTTAGGAACAAATCGTGCTTGTCATGAGAGCTCTGAACTCGACCCCCAGCTTTGTTGAGTCTGTCGTTCCTGGTCTGACCGCCACAGAAAAAAGTATCATTCAAGACATGCTCTCGTAAGCTAAAGAAAGCCACGTCATGGAATTGGTCAACAGCCAGCAACGGATCCTCGATCGCTGATTCGTTGGAATAGCTGTTAAAACTATCCAATAGGCATGTACTCCTTGTTTGAAACAGTTGTTCGCCATACTGAATTACGGCCAATCATGCACCTTCAATGGGATCGATTTCACCCAATGAAATCTTGTGGTGTTTCCATACACGCGATGGCCGCACCGGTGGCCGCTGCCACGGCGGACGACGACGCATATGCAGACCTGTACGAGAAGTTCACGTACCTGCAGCAACAAACAAATCGTTTGGCAGCGGCGTACACTCTCGCCACGCAAGACTTGGACACCCTTCATGGAGACAACAAGATCCTCAAGGATAAGTTGCTCCAAATACGTGTGCGGCGGCGGAATCTCGCGGCGCAGGCCCAGGCCACGATGGGTGCCAACATGAATGCCAAGGCGCTGTTCTGTCGTCGTAATCGGCGTGTCCTTCGGAAGCAGTTTCCTCTCATTTCGAGGGAGCAACTGTCGGTAATCGTCGCGGACGAATGGGAGTCCCTGCCACCGGATGCTTCCGAGGTCCAACATGCGTGTACCATGCACCCTCCTTGTCCTTGCCCAACGACTCATAGTCGTCCCTTTATTGTAGCAATGGCAGCGCGAATTCATGTCGTACGTTCCCCAACCGGTAAGATATAGTTACCATCACGAACAATCTCCATGTCCCACTGAATAGCTACATGCTAGGTACCGATGGCCGTGAAAGACGAGGTGGTGGCATCGCGAGCATCTGGCTCCTCGTCCGTGCCTTCCTCCTCGACGCCTGCGATGGCGGACACGACTACTCCATTGAAGAAAGCCCCTGCCAAGTCCCGTCGAAAGCCACCGGCCAAGGCGACCACACCAGCAGCCACTCCGGACGATGTAGTTCCCAAGCCTAAATCGAGGCGAGCCACCCCCAAGAAGAAGGCGGAGACCGCTCCTGCTGCGTCCGACAAGAAGCCAGCAAAGAAACCCCGCCCGTCTCCGGCCAAAACGACCAAAGCTACCCCAAAGCGAACCACCCAGCCTAAGGCCAAAGTGGCAAAGCAGACTTCGCCAGCCAAAAAGAAAGATATCGCGGTGGCCAAGGACTCGGACTCGGACTCGAACAACAGCAGCATGGCGCCCAGCGACGACGACAGCGACGACAACCTGATGAATTTGCCCACTGGGGCGTTTGGTTAGGTTAGTTTTAACTGATGCATGACCCGCTGGATGCTGTCGGAGCGGAAGCGCAGCGCAAGTCGCGCCTCGATTTCATTGCGGGGCATGTGATCTCGGATGCTGTCGTACTCCAACACGTCCGATGCCTTTGCCAAGTTCACCAACAGCACAATCTAACACCACCCCAAGTATAAGATATATATATATATATATATATATATATATATATATATATATACGTCCAACGAGAATATATATATATATCCAAGAAAGAATGCACACTGTTGAACCAGCGTTCCATAACGATTGGAAATGATAAAACACCCGTGGGGAATTGAAACAGATCGCAAACGTGTTCAGCGAATCAAGAATCGACACTATTGGCTAAAATTCAATTTGGAGTGGATCTGATTGGCTCTGGCCACGTATATTCAGCCAATCACAGAAGGTCCAGCGTGCTTCCATCTTTACAATAAAAAATACTATATATATATGGATACATATATTTACCTGGTCGAGGCGCGTAAACTCTGCGCGCAAACTGACGTCGCTCGCCGCTGGAAAGTGGCCACAGAGCACCGACAGGTGGCGCACTTCCTTTTCCAACTGCATGGCCCCGACGTCGTTGAACGTTTTCTGGGTCACGCCGCGCTCGATCCAGTCGCACATGTCCCGAACCACTTGGCGCCACATCAATTCAAACGTGGGGGGACTGAGGCCCCGTCGAAATCGCCGCAATGTTTTGTCCTTGAGCATCTACGTTGTGGACAACACACACACACATATATAGCCGTTTAGTAGGTCAAGTTGACAATAGCACTGTTTTTTCTATCATTGGTAAGGAAAGCCCGAGGATAGGTTGGTTATGTGTTTGATCGGTATTTACCGATTGCACGAGGGCGACCAGTGGCGACCCATGTACTTCCAAGTAGTCATACGCTTGGAGCGACAGTTCGTACTGCCACTGCAGCACAGACTGGTGGAACCGCATGTCCATCTTGGGCTGCAAGTCGCGGGCGTATAGCGCGTGGAGGCCCGAGGTGAACACTTGGTGGAATTCGAGCTGCAGTTCGCTCAGGGGTTTCGGCAGGCACTCTAGCAGGGACGGCAGCGCCGCGAAGTGCGACGCCTGGGTCTCTGTGATCCGAACGTGGATTTTCCCCACATACTCCCAGCTCATATAAGCCGACACGACAGCCATCATCATCTTGGCGTCGACTTGCAACTGGTGGGTTAAGTCGGCGTCCACGGCTTGCAGCAATGCGTCGGAAAAGCTCAAGTCGTCCGTCGATACTATTACATGTGTCAGACGGATAAATCTCAGGCATGCGATGCCGCGTACGCTCCGCGGACGAGTCATTGGCATGATGCGTGGGGGATGTCACGGGCAATGGCATGTCGAAGCTCCGGCGCGGCAAGTCCAAGATTGACGGCATGTATGTCCGTTCAAGCGATTCCACGATTGCAATCACGACCGACAGTACCGTATGGTAGTTCTTGCTACAGACATACAAACAATCCTATGAATATATCCGACACGATATAAAAAAGGGGCATGGATTTGTGGCGATGTGTCCGAAATGATAAGTAGGCCCTGGCGACGTAGAATACGGAAAGGTATATATATATTGTCAATTGGTGCTCCATCGAATGAGCAGCACGAAATCGGCAGACATTGAACGACCAATCAAAACCCAGAACACTCATCAACTAGCCAATCAAATCCAGTCTTCGACGAATTCAACGTCGAATTAGTGTGTGAATGAAATTAGTGTGACGCTGGACCATGTTTACATACAAAAGTCAGTATACAGAATCGATCATCCATAGATTTGGCAAAGAATCAGCACATTGTGTAACAGTAAGACAATGCCTACCTTTGCGTGGCCCGTGTGAAGGCTTTGTCCAGGACAAACGACGCGTCTTCGACCGTGCTATGGTGGTAGCGCATTTGTACAAAATAATATTAATATATATTGAAGCTGTCGTCTGTTCGTATATATATATATGTCATACCTAATAGCATAGACATTTGGCTCGATTTGCTGCGGTTCGGCAATCATCACGGCTTTGTGCATCGTTTGAAAGATGTAAAAGCGTTCGAGCAGCAAGTACACCCCATTCAGCTCGTGCACCTACGTACACCACATATCGTCTTGAGTACATGTGTCATTGCCCCCCTCCGCCGACCTTTTGAGACAGGCCACCGTCCCCACTCCCGCCGCGCTGGTCTACTAAAAAGGACGCAGCATACGCGGAATAATGCAAGCACAGCTGCAAGATGCACGCCAATTCTTCGAGCAAGAGGTCGACCATTTGCAAACTCTCGTCGGCTTCGACGTCGTCTAGGTCGTTCGAGGGACTGGTACTGCGCAAGGACACCTTCTTCTCCCATGCCGCGAGCCGCGCGTCCGCCGCGTACAGCGCCAGAATGTCCAGCACCCCACGTACAAAGGCCGCGTGGATCGGCGCAAACACGATCGCCAAGTCGGACACGTTGGCTTCCTCCACGAGGCTCACGACAAACGATACATCATGGACCTACGCGGTGAGGTTCAGGCAGACTCTGACGATATCGAGCAGTCGTTCTACCAAGCCATTGAGCGCCTCCAAGTGCACGGACCGATCGATGTACCCGTGGCCGTTGACAGGTGCCGCCGCTTTGAGTTTCCCTAGCGAGTCCACGCGCAAACTCGCGCGTTGCTTGAACTCTGCGTCGACGTACTCCACCAACACGGCCAGGGACGAGGCGTTGGCTGGCGACGGGCTCAGGGCATACGACGTGTAGAATGTGTTGATGACCGTGCGCAGTTGAGAGTCGAGCCGTTCGTATTGAAGGACTGTGTCGTCGTTCGATTTCCGACCGAGCGACGCGTTCAACGTACTCACGAGGGCGTGGAGCTTGGACAATGCAAGCTGTCCCTTTGCACTCGCTTTGTTCTCGCAATCGTTGAGCATCTACACTGGCATGTGAATGTCGGTTGGTCATTCAGGTCCGACGTATGTACTTCCTGCAAGACAACGGTCGCGGGGTCCTCCATCGGTAGCGTAGCTGCAGCATCGCGGAGACTCAGCAGTGCATCAGCCAACTGGTCCAGCTTGTCCTCTGCCAAGGCTTCGTAGAACGACCCAATGTGATCGTTGAATGCCTCCATTGTGCAAGTTGTTGTCGCCAACTTACGCCAACTTAAATGTAACAATATCACACCTGAATAGTAGTCTTCGAATTATAACATCATGTGTGTATCCGGATGATATTATCCTTATTGAAAGTCAGTCAATACTGGAGAAATATATCATTCGTAATGGGTTTGTTATAACATATGCCCCACGGATGTTATATGGTCGGTCCATTGTTTTATACATGTGTTTTAAACGCTGTTTCAAACAGCACCCCCTTTGATCTCCGAAAAACCCAACCCCACAAAAAAGGGAAGTGACGAAAAGATGAGCGTCCCGCCTGCGTCGTCGTCTGTGCTGGAGGCGGTCAAGGCGAATGTGCTTGATGTAGCGCTGGCGCGCGAAGAAGCATTGGCCAAGTTCAAGGACATCAACTGGGCCACGTACACCCGCGCGGGTGGGTTCTCCTTGGACAAGACGGAGATCGCGGCCATCAAGGAAATGGAAATTGTCGCGAAAAACGCGAGCCAGAACGAGGATCAAGCCGATGCCCTGATCGACACATTCCTGCGCGAATATGGCACGGCGTTGGGCGCAGGATTGCTCAAACTCATCAAGAACGTCACGGAACCGTCCGTGTTGCGCTATGCGTTTGCCCGCATCGACGATCTTCTCCCAGGTAACTGGATAACAGTTTGGATCCTCTGGTATGTCATCACGATCATGACGATGGACGTATGGTGAACTGGCATAGATGGAGGTCGATCGCGCAAGCGTGCGACGTACTTTGTCGGCGAAGGCGCGTATGTGGAAGCAGCGCCGTTCCTCCGCCTCCTTCGAAGCGAATCGGGGTACACCCAGTACGCGGCCGGGCACATTCTAGCCCAGTTCCTGACCTTCCGCCCGAAAGAGCAAGACATCGTGTCGTTGATCCAGTGGATCTTGGATGCAGTCAAGGCGTCGGCCCAGTCCAACGACGTCGCCCGCGCCGCCACCGCGCGCAACGCCATCACGACGCTCATGGTGCTGCTTCGCAACGAGACCGCGCGCAAATTGTTTACCCGCGCCGGCGGACTCGCCAGGTATGTCTCCATTCCCCATCATCTCTTCCTCCACGCTCATCATTCTCAACCCACGGACGTCATACATCAACCTACCTCGTTGCCAAGACCTCATTCCCATCGACTCGTTCAAATGTAGCTTGGCTGACTTGCTCAAGTATTCCCAGGGCAAGGCCCAGCTGGCGTACGAGGTACATACACCTCATCGACACCCTACTTGGAGGAGCAACATGGGTAGGTGTGCTTTTGCTTGTGGACGCTGTCGTTCTCAGAGGAAGCGGTCGATGCATTCGGTACGTCGGGCGCGATCTCGGCCCTCATCCAGCAAGTGGTCGCCGCGCCTCGTGAAAAGGTCGTGCGCGTGGCGCTGGAAGCTCTCCAGGTAGAGTGTCCATGATGTATAGCAGCTGTATTTCTCATCTTATGATAAGGAATGAATGCATATTATGGGGACGGAGATGAACAAGTGTTGAAGAATGTTTGTCGTGACCTATGACGGCCATATTATACGCAATCACACAACTCTTTATGTGTGGATGTATATAGTAGGACTATGTTTTAAAGGTATATTATTTTATATATATATAAACACTTTTCAAAAACGGATTGATCAGAATGAAATATTATTATCAATTAAAAAATACATGTGTATTTCTATTTTGTGGGTTCTCATGCGTTTATTATATGTGTGTCCTACCCCATATGTATCGGTTTGTGTAGAACTTGCTGGGCAAGCAAAATGGCGCGTACAACGAGCGCATGCTGGACGGCGGGTTACTCAAGACGCTGACCAACCTCCGCGACCGCAAGTGGACGGATGAGGACATCACCAAGTCGATCACGGCGATTCGAGACGTGCTGATCCGAGAGTTCAAAGAGCTCAAGTACGTCGTCATCGTGTCCTCCCACGTGGTTCGTTCTGGTGACGCTTTATACGTGTAGCACCATGGAGCGATACGAAAAAGAGGTGCGCACGGGGCTCTTGACGTGGGGACTGCTGCACACGGACAAGTTTTGGCGCGAAAATGTCATGGCGTTCGAAGCCAACGACTTTGCGCTCATTCGGTGGGTACACATATATATATATATATATATATATATATTCCTATACGGATTTAATCTTGTGTGCTTATACACTGAATATTGGAGCTGCTCGCTGGGGCATTTGGTGATATGTGGAATCGATTCCAAGTACCACAAATCAACATGTGTGTATATCTGTGGTATGTGCTTTTTGAGTTATATCGTGTGCAACGACGCGTGTATAATAAAGCTAGCATGACTCAAATAGTGTGTCCAATAGATGTATATATATATATAAATTCACACGAAGTTTTGAGAAGTTCAAATCAATATATATATTATATATATATATATTCACACGAAGTATGTGGTTTCGAGAAAGCCAATCAGTATATATTTATTCAACTGTGGTGGTGTTTGTCGTAGGTTGTTGATTGAGCTGCTCGAGTCAGACGACCCCAAGACGGTGGCCGTGGCGTTGTATGACTTGGGCGATTTTGTGCGTTTTTACCCGAATGGGAAGCACATCGCCAAGCGGCTGGGGGCGAAGAAGGTCGCGATGAAGCTCATGACCCACGAGAACCCGGACGTGCAGAAGCAAGCGCTCACGTGCATCTCCAAGATGATGGTCAACAAGTGGGAATTTGTCAAGTAACAGGCACTTTGCTATGTTACCAAAAATATCTCACCACCACTCGTGCCTGCTTGGGTGTGTTATTACTTACGATGAGACCAACCACACATTCTCAGTCGCTAATTCCGCTGTCGTTACTGTAGTAGGGTTCGCTAGTAGTATAAGTAAACGTTAGTTTGTTTTTATTAGAGCATCTGCACTGGTAATACCAGTAAATTTGACCCCTACGAAAACACTCATGCATTCTTTCCGCCGTTCCCAACACAGGTGCGTTGGACAAGGTACAGTCGTGCGCTACTGATGTGCCTTGAGTTTTGCGTTGTTCTGATGCTAGTCCTCTCTTGTCGCCTGTGTTGGACAATAACACATCTCTGTGTTGGCTGCAGGCTGGCTCACCACCATTTTTCCGGTTAACAATGTCAATCATACATAAAATTTGACGATGTAGATCGTCGGGTTTTGAAGCGCAAGGTGTGAAATTGAACTGTTTTGGGTAAGTTGTTCAAAAAGTACAGTACACTCTGTACACTGTGGTGAGATGGCATTCTGCATCGAACACAACTCGTGCAAGCGCTCAAGTACGAGAACCATCACGTGTCCCATCTGGCCAAGCTGTTGATCCAACGGGCGATTGAAAACCCCAACCAAATCGGGTTTGACCTCTTCTGGGCCATGAAGGTCGAGTCGTACAACGACCAGTACCAAGAGCGCTACGGCCTGCTCCTCAACGCCTACACGGACGTGTGTTCGCTGAAAATGCGCGGCATCCTTGAGCTCCAGGACAAGTTGTTTGCGGAAAAAGGCGAGTTTGAACGCATCTGCCAACACGTCAAGGCGCTGGCCCACGCAGGCAAGACCAAGGACGAGATGGTGGCGGCGCTGCGGGAACGCTTGACGACCCTCAACGAAACATTGCCGTTGTCGTACCAGCTGCCGCTCGACCCGCGTGTCGAAGTCGGGAAAATCGTCGTCCGCAAGTGCAAAATCATGAGCTCGGCCAAATTGCCGCTGTGGCTCGAGTTTGAAAACGCCGAAGAGGGCGGTGACCCCGTCGTGATCATCTTCAAAGCCGGCGACGACGTCCGCCAAGACTGCTTGACGCTGCAGTTGATCACGCTCATGGACGAAATGTGGCGAGAAGACGGCAAGGACCTCGCCATGGAGCCATACAAGTGCGTGTCGACGGGGCCCATGACGGGCATGTTGCAAGTGGTGCTGCATGCCGTCACAACTGCCGCGGTCCACAAGCGAGGGGGTGCGCTGGGGGGTATCTTTGGCGCGTTCAACGACGTGAGCTTTTCCGACTGGATCGCAGCCAACAACGGCGACCCGCGGAGTTACAAGACGGCCGTGAATTTGTTTCTACGCTCGTGTGCTGGGTATTGTGTGGCCACGTATGTGCTGGGCATTGGCGACCGCCACAACGACAACATCATGGTACGAAACGACCTTCATAACTTCATTGAAACACATAACGCTTCTATTATTCATTGTCTAGCACAGCATCAGTACACTGCCCGTATCCACAAGAAATCTTCCAGCCTAGTCGACAATTACATGGCCATCGCCGAAGGTCGAAAGAACATCAATATCAATCACTTCAGGCTCCACATCGGGCTCCACAACGTCCACGATGACGGGAAGCTTCGTCTTGGCTTGCGACAGTTCCACCACGAACGCCACGGCCAATCGCGTAAACTCGGCCATGTGGTCAAAGTCCAAGGTCGCAATCGTGTCCTTGGACGACTACTCGACGATCCTTCATATCACTTGCATTTTCAAGCGACGAAAACGTACGTGGACATTGGGGTTGACTGGCCCATCTTCTTCAAACGGGTATGCCACGGCGTACCCAGCGTTGAACCATGACGCATGATCAGAGCAGCCGTAGCCGCACGTGTTGCGGCTCACTTTGGTGGTCAAATACGTCGTGATGCACACTTCCAAGAACTGGTTCAGCGGGAGCGACGTGAAGTCGTCTGTGAGGCTAATGACCTTGGTGCCGCCTCGGGTCCACCCCGTCCTATCATCGTGTCAACTTGCACCGTGTCACATCATTCTATCGATCGTACATGTCGTTCTGTAACATGGCGTACACGTCCACTTTGGCTTTGGCATAAGCGGTAGCAATTTGTTTGGACCCTTCCAATCCCGTTTTTTTTACCGAGTCATACTCTTCGGCCGAGTACCAGTGGAACTCGATCGGTCGCGTGGGAACCCACTGCGGCGACGACAGCAAGTACTTGAGCGCCGTGAAAATCGTGACCGTGCCGGACCCGTCGTCGTCGGCGCCAGGGGCGGCCTTTCCGTCGCGTTGGTTGATCGAATCTTGATGCGCACCGAGGATGAGCAGATCGTTGTTCACGGCAGGTTTCACCGGGTCGATGCGGAAGATCACAGACACTTGGCCCCATCCGTCATCCGTGGTCGTACTTGATCACTTTGGTCTTGATGTCGGCGCGGTCGTAGGCGTTGGACAAGGCGACCACTTGGTCGAACAACCAGATGCTCGACGCCAGTCCCTGAGACGACGTTTTGTGGCGGGTGGTGAACTTGTTCACATACGTCGTGAGGAGGGTCTTGAGGTCGTTAGGATTGACTTTGGCGTTGACAGCTTTCACGACTTCTGGGAACGCAGGGATGGTTGGGTAGGCTACAATACAGTAGCATGTTAGCATGTGCTCCGTATAATGCAAGCAACTCACTTTTAGCATCCAGGTGCAGTGCTCGACGCTCTCTACCCAACCTTACGCCTTCCGTCCACAACCCATCCGTGTCGTCGACAAAGCCCGTGTTGTTTTGGTGGAGGATTCGAACCTACGTTTGGTTGTGATATCGTCATCATTGTATGAAGCACACAATATTGCTGCTATGGGGGGCTACAGTACCTCAGCTTCAGTCATCCAGCAGCGAATGGTGTCGGAAAGCGCAATGAGTCGATCAGAGTCATTGGAGCGATCAACGCGACATCCTTCGACAGACTTTTGAGAGGCGAAATCAGCTTGGGCAGTTGATGCAGCGAGCCCCACCACGCCCACAAGTTGATACAACACTTTCATGGCTAAAATGAAAATGAAAGTCGATACCGCTAACGTTAAACAGTCAACTCTGACGTGGTTAGGGTACGAATTGGCTAGACACTACAGTACAGTATACCTACCCCTGCAATGCTAAATAGCTGTAAGCACATCACCAGTGGAAATGAACTTGATTGGCTGAATTCTCAAAAACTGCTGGCTTTTGCGGGCTGTGAAAAACAGATTGTATATCTTTTATGCTTTGGGCGTAGTCTCCTCTTGTTTTCATAATACAGGATTAATTGAGTTTGGATTATCATTTTTAAGACATTCCTCGCGAGGGCCGACACTAGAACCACATGTTTTGGAACCGCTTCGCCAATTGTAACGCGCCTGCTCTACCAGGGGCGGTGTGTAATCTTCGGTTTTTTACTTCGCTCAACGCTTCATTTTTCATAATACAGGACGTACCGTGTCCCGTACAATGTAACTGTAGCTCTGATTTGGACTTACTGTTAGCAGTAAAAGACTCCAATCCACATGTCAGATATACAAGATAAGGTAATTTCACTTTGAACAAGTGATTAATTGAGTTTGGATTATTATTTTTAAGACAATCCTCCGCGAGGGCCGATACACACTGCTTCGCCAATTGTAACCGCCTGCTCGACCAGGGGCGGTGTGTAATCTTCGGTTTTTACTTCGCCCAACGCTTCATACCTCGTGCTTCGACTGACCTTCGTCGAAGTTCGGTCCTCGTCTTCTTACGCCGCCTTTGTTATCCGGATTCCCCAGCGCCAAGAGGCGATGGCATGAGCCCAAGACCATCGGCGCGGCGGAGAGTTTGATCATAATACTTTGATGAGATGATAGTGCTCATGTGTATCATACCGTTACCTGTGCTGTCTACCAACCGTCGACCTGTTGCGGACCCGCTGCCGTTCCGCCACGCAGGCTTTTGAGATTTGACATTTGATTATAAATATATACTAGTATGTTTTACGAAATAAATGTGCCGGATACAATTGGAGATACGAAACACGAAATTTCGTAAACCCAGATAGTGGACATATTTTGATTTGGTATTTGTATGCCAAAATTATATCCAGAGATATAAAAGGTTTTACGAAATCGAGTATCCGGACACACTTTCAGAATCTTTACACAGCAATGCCATCGGCCAAACGTAAGGCCCCATGCGGCGCCGACCACCGAGGACATAAGTCCTGTCAACATCTGGGGATCAAGGTATCTTGCTTCGGTATGGCAGTACAACACGCTATCAGTACGAGAAGTCGATGTTGCGAATGTATATCGTATTAATACTGAGCTCAATTATGAGCATCATGGGCGTGTCTTGGCTGTGATGTCGAAGGCAATGGCAATACCTCCACCATCACACACATACACGAATAACGTTACTCTACCTCAGCCATTTCTAGGGCCTGGTGAGGTGGGGCAGTATGAGCATCATGGGCGTGTCTTGACTGTGATGTCGAAAGCAATGGCAATACCTCCACCATCACACACATACACGAATAACGTTACTCTACCTCAGCCATTTCTAGGGCCTGGTGAGGTGGGGCAGTATGAGCATCATGGGCGTGTGTCTTGACTGTGATGTCGAAGGCAATGGCAATACCTCCACCATCACACACATACACTAATAACGTTACTCTACCTCAGCAATTTCTAGGGCCTGGTGAGGTGGGGCAGTCGTGCCCTGTGTTGTGCACCATACCACCAGCTTCCCACAACAGTATCATTATAATAGGCTGCCTGCGCCACATTGGCGATTCCACGAAATCTTCTCTCGGGCTTACTTAACGATGATTCTGTCTCATTTCTCGTATAGTATGGCTATAAATTACCTAGTCATAGATTGCATGGGGCTTGCGGGGACTACTGAAGCCTGAATACACAGAAAGCTCTCCTATGGTCAAGGGCAGTGCTTCACTGGAAGACTTCCACGGTCCTTGGCTGCAAATTACAGTAGTGATATCATATTAACGTGTGATTGTCCGTCCTTACGTAAGTAAATAAAGATAATCTATCAAATCAAACTGCATTTTGATTGGAAATTCAAGGATGCCGGCATGGGAGTGGCGCCTTCTCGTGCAAGGCAAGGCGCACGGATGACACCGACCACTGTACACTAAAGTAGCCTATAGTTCACACTTTAAAACTTGCGCTGAGCTCTTGCGTA